ACATTTTCAATGTATACTAGACATTTGTATTAGAGCATTCTATTGTTACTTCAACACAGTTAAAACGACTCATAATTTTGTCTACTGATGTTCCCTCTGAATGATTTTCCAGTGTGTGATTGATGATGAGCCCTGGAAGAGAAGGGATCACACCTTTCAGGTACACTACTATAGGTCCTGCACACTGCTTGGATGTAATCAACAGTCAATAAATATTTGTTGAAATGAACAAATGAATAAACATCATTCTTCCACTCACTAAGCCTTAATTCTTTAGAGTCATTTTGGATTCACCTCCCTCCTTTGTTCCATAAATTACATCAGTGATGAAACCTTGTCAATTATGCCTTCAAAATGTAGTGGTTACGGGTATGGATGTGGAGTCACATGGACCTGTTTGACTCTTTGCTCTGCAACTGTCAAGCTCTGACTTTGGGCATGTTCCCTAACCTCTCAGTTTTTTTTTAATCTATAAAATGAGGATAGTAAGGGTACATTATGGGGTTAATGAGAATAAATGAGGTAATGTGTACAAAGTGCTTCTCACAGTGCCTGACACACAGCAAGGGTTCAATAAATGATAGTTATTCAATTATCTTTCACTGCTCCCCTAGAGAGGTTTACTTACTGCTTCAAATCTTTGCTGTTTCTCTTGGCTTGAATGCTCTCCTTCCTTTCTGCCCATTCAAAATGCTATTTACTCTTCCTGTTAATTTTATTTTTTAAAGTAATACATATTCATAGTTAAAAACTTCAATAGATTAATAAGACTTTTAAAGCAAAAGAGCAGACCCCTACTCCATCTTGCCTAACTTCTGATCTGTACTAGGAAAGCAACCACTTTCAATAATCTTAACTGTTTCCTCTAACATTTACTTCCATATTTCTAAATAATGTCCTTATACTGATGGCTCTTGATCTTTCCATTTTTAGATAAATACTTATTGCCTTATTATGGAAGATAAATATTTAGACCTCTTACCACACCATCCTTTCCAATTTGCTTTCCCTTCATCCTACAAAAAAAGTTTTCTCAGAATCTTGATGGCCAAACTATATCCCAGTGAATTAACTGTAGCTACTTGTGATTGCCTTTTCCCTTCCACTAAAATAAAATACCCTATCCTTTTATCAGTCGGTTCTAGAACTGTGTGTGCCTTTGATATCGTGATTCCTAGAATACACCTACTTCCCCTTTCTTAAAAGCAATACAATATTAGATCATCCACAATCCCCTTGGACTTCTGTTCTCCATGATTACTAACCTCATTTGTCAGTACAGTATCCTCAATGTAATTAATACGGGCTATTTGGAGCACTATAACAGGGAACCCTGATCTCATCTGACAAAGTGACATTTAAGCTGAGATCTGAAAGACAAATTGCAAAGGCTATGAAAGCATTCCTGCAGAGATGGTTGCAAGTGCAAAGGCTCTCAGGGCAAAAGGAACTTTGGGAACTCAAGGAATAAAAGGCGGCCAGTGGAGTGGATGGAGCTTGGCGTGTCAGGGGGAGAGAAGGTTCACCAGGAGCTAGAAAGGAAAACAGGGGTTAGAGGATTCAGAGCCTTGTAGCTGAGGTCCAGGCAGGATCTGGGCCTTGTCCTGAAAGCAATGAGAAGCTACTGAAAAGTCATAAGCAGGGGAGTGATTTGATCTGATTTGCCTTCTGAAGATTTCTATGGTTGCAGGGTGGGGAATGAACTGGGGAGGGCCAAGAGTTAGATACGGGTAAAACTGGTTTAAAGGAAGCATTAAGGGCAGCATTGTAAGGGAGAACAAAATTTCAAATTGGCAAAAGGTAGTCTTATGAGGTACTTTCGAAAGCTCAGCAGAGACCTCGGAATTTTCTTCAACTTGCTGATGGCAGTGATAGGCATGCTCATATAACAGCTTCATTTTTTTTTCCTTTTTTTTAGTATTGGATGGAGGAGGGGACTCCTCCCCCTCCTCCCCACCCTCCTGCTGAATTCCCGAATTGCTGACCAACCAATTGATCCCAGAAGCAGTTTGCTTCCCTCCTTTCCAAGCCTGGACAGCCTCCAGTCCCCACTGGACGGTCTACCCACTTGTCATGGTGAGATTTCTGAGGGGCTGAGGCGAGCGAGGGGCTCGCACAGAAATATGGCAGCAGAATTGAAACGGTCAAGGAAGAACAGTTTCTCTTCTGTTTCTGAGACAGTATGCATTAGCTCTAGTCGAGTTAAGATGGTAAAAAGGACAGGAGACTGCTTCCTCTGAACTCCTACCTACAAGGAGCCTGGGGCTTTGGCTGCAGTCAGCTGAGGCACCATGAGAGTTGGTGTTATATACCATGTGGTCTGACAGTTCAGACAGCAGGAAGTTAAGTTTTTGCAGTTCTGTTTATGGAACTGCCAAATGAAAATGCTGGCTGATGGTCTGCTTTTCATAGCCATTGACAACAGCTTCCTACAACACCTGGGTTTTCTTTGGAAGCTGTGAAGAGGCACTGAAAAGAACAAAAATAATTTCTTCTTGTCTTTAAAAAAAAAACTCACAAAGTAATCTGAATGTGTGTGAGAGTAACTCTAATTCAGGTTGCATTTGGATATGGAAAGAAACTACCTTGCATAAATTGCAGGTTTTGCTGAGCATATTTGATTTATGTGGAATTGCATTTTTATAGTCAAGCAAATTAGTCTGGACCCATGAATATAAGTGTTGTGATGCAACAAACTAGGAAGATGAGGGAGAGAAGGTGGAATTACAGTAACAAATGAAAATTAGACCAACAATATTTCTATATCTTGGGAGATCCTAAAAGCTTTGCTTTTAAGCTGGACAACATGGCAATGGTATGTGAGAAAATACTCACACAATGATGTGTGAGGGAATACTGAAAACCAATATCCAGTTCTCTAAATTTTTTTAAGTTGGTCTGTTTGATTCTATAAGCTAAGTACATTTTTTCAATTTATTTAACAAATTGCATATGGAAAGATATTACTTATTATTTACTAGTAAGAACTTGCATATCCAAATGTCTAAATTCATTTTCTATTACCTATTTTACTGATAATGATGTCTCTTATTGATAAGGATTCTAGACTTAGGCCTAGAACAATTGACAACAACCTCTTCGACCCACAAATTCCAGTCAGTATCTAGAACAGTGCCTGCCACATAGTAAATAGTCAACGAACAATAAGTGAATTAAATTACGTTAGTTGTCCTCAACAAAAGTAGTCAGCAAAACTTTTTCTATTTGAAAATAAATCTTTGAAATATTAGAGAGCAAAATCTTAGATCCATTTTGCCAATAAAACAAAATATCCTAATATCCGATTGGGCTTCCCAGGTGGTTCAGTGTTAAAGAATAAGCCTGCCAATGCAGGAGACACAGGTTAGATCCCTGGGTCGGGAAGATCACCTGGAGAAGGAAATGGCAACCCACTCCAGTATTCTTGTCCAGGAAATCCCGTGGACAGAGGAACCTGGCGGGCTAAGGTCACAAAAGAGTCAGACACGACTGAGGGACTAAACAACATCAGATTAATAGACATCTAACATACGCAAAGAGTCGGACACGACTGAGCGACTGAACTGAACATAAATCTTAAAAATCATTAGACGCGGCCTCAAGGGTGCGTAAACGCAAGGAACTATACAATAGAGAAAGAAGTGGAAACGGACGGGTTTACTTCTAGGCAACCAGGACATTTGGGAACCTACCTTATGCCCTGCACTTAAGGCAATGAGGACGGGCTACTAGTGGCTCACACTATCAAGTGCAGACTTCCCAGGTGCTTCTGAAGATCCTAATGAGTTTCAGAGTTCTTCCGGGCCATGTCCGCCCAAACATCCTGGGCGTCTGCCAAGAGAGTGTGTTCTTTTTCTTAGATCATCTGGCACGTCCTCCCCGACCCCTCCCTTCACCATGGACTTTGCCCACAGGGCTCCTCCTAAAGCATTCTCACATAGCAAGGTCCAGTTTAACCTCCAGTGCTTTCGAGAAAGCTTGCCAGAACCCCTTTTGAGGTGCACCGGCGCTCTCAGCACTTGAAACCTCTCGTCTAGCAGCCAGGACTTTCTAACCTGCTGTTCTTGCAGGTGGGTAGCCCCTTACCACAGTGGGGCACCCCCCGCCCCCCCCCCCACGCTGGGGAGGTCTTTTCAGAAGTCGCTGTAACCAGCCCCTAACACAGCCGAGTACAAAGAAAATGCCCAGGAAAGATCTGTTGAAATGAATCTAAACCCCACAGGGGAAAGAAGAAGTGCTCATGCCCAACAGTAAAGGCCCTTCACGACCCCAGGGAGGCCCGCGGTGCAGCTGGCCCTGTCCCCAGCCCTTCGCTGGCCGGAGACGGCGGCGCGGCAGAGGCTCGTGGAAATGCCTCTGACCTCCTTCGACTAATTTCTTCTTTACTTTTGCAGAGGAATCTACATTCTGCTCCAGCAGCCTCGGGGCACGCTGTAAAGGGCGGTGCAAACCGAGCGACGTGGGGGTTGGGATGGCCAGTCTCATGGCAATTTTAGCTTCGGCTTTCCTATGTAATGTTTAAAGTTTCGCAAACTCCAATTCTAAACTAGGAGCGGAGGGGGTAGAGCGTTTCCTGGTGCACAATTTTTCGCGTCCCAGGGAAGGTTCCGGGCATTTGTGGCTTTGCCTCACAGATCCTTTTCACATTTCCCACCGCGGGGAATCTAAAGAGCGCTAGTGGCCTCCACTTCCAGCCCGAGCCGAGAACCGCGGTTCAGCCCTGAGGTCTCAGCCGCTTCCTCCTTCAACCCTCTGGGCAAACCCAGAGCGGGCGAGTGGGGGAGCTCCCAGCCCGCGGTACTAGGCGGAATCGGGGGCACGGCGGGACTACAACTCCCAGGCTGCTCTGCGAGAAGCGAGGGGCGGGGGCGGGCGGGAGGGGCTTGCGGTAGAGGCGGGAGGGGGAGTGGGGGTGGCAGGGAAATCCCGCCCCGCTGCGCAGCAGCAGCGACACAAAGCCTGACTTTACAACCTCAGAGAGAAAGTGGAAGTGAGATGGTTTAGGTGGGGAGACAGGACAAGAGAAAAAACCTGAGAAGGGAAAGGCGCGTAGGTGGGAGCTGAGCGAAGCGAGGGTAGTGGGGAGACCCGCGCCTCGGCACCCGAGGAGCGGGGCTCTTATAACTAGTCCCCCCGCCCGCGCCCCGCCCCGCCCGCGCTGGGGTCTCCACAGCGCCCCGCCGGTCCCGGCTCCTCACGCAAAGCCCGGCTCCGCCCCGCGGGAAGCGGGGAGCCCGGCTGCCTGGCGGGTTCAGGGCGGGCCGGCAGGCTGCACCGTGGCTCCCCGGCCCGAATGCGGGACGGCCGGCGCGGCTGCCGCGGACCGAGGAGGGGCTGTGAGCGAAGCGGAGCGGCGGCCGAATTAGGGCCGGGGCAGGGTAGGCTTGCGGCTCCCGCACGAGCCAGGGGAGTAGTGTCGGGCTGAGGCGAGGTGAGGCGCGGGGCGCCACGGGAGGGTCCCCCGTGGCCGCGAGCGGGGCGGGCGCACGCGGGCTGTCCGCGGAGAAGCGGGCGGTGGCTCCGCGGCAGGGAAGAGTGCAGACGGCGGGGTGCCGAGCCCGGCGCCGGTCGAGAGCTCTGGGCGCCCCCCTCCCGCAGGAGGAGCCTAGCGCTCCTCCGCCATCCCTCCCCCGCGCGTTCGGCTCGCTATCTCCGCGGGCTGCTGCGGGAGCGGCGGGGCCACCGCCCCCGGGGCGGGGCGGGGCGGGGCGTGAGGGGGGGCGCGGGGGGCGGGGGGAGTTCGGAGGGCCGGCGGTTGGCGGGGCCGCGAGCCTCGCCGACCGTTTCGCGCCGGCGGCCCACGCCGCAGTGTGTCGTGTGGACGGCACCTTCTCAGACAGCCCCGTAGAGTCCAGCTCGGCGCCCGGCAGCCTTCGACGCGATGTTCCGCCGGAGCTTTAATCGTTTTGTAAGTACACTCGCTGCGGCTCCCCGCGTGCCGGTTCGCTTGCTCGCCAGCCCCTTCGCCCGGTCCCTCTGAACAGTTTCCTGAGGGGAGGACTGCGTCTCTGGGAGACACCAGCAGCGCCCGCTCTTACATTTTCACTGAAACGACGCTGCCCGGGGCGGTCGGGGTGGGGCGGTCAGGTAGGGCTCTCGGAGCACCCCGCCACCCCACCCCGACCCCTGCCCATTTATCCGGAGCTGCCCTGGGCTGTTCCTTACAAACTCTGTCTCGGACGGCGGGGGGGGGGGGGGGCGCCCTCCGAGCTGGATGGTGGGGGACCCCCGGGGGGGACCGACCCAGGGGTCCCTCGGTGTGCCAGTTACTCGAAGATGGCGTTTTATTATCAGGGAGGTTGCTTTCTTTTGTTTCCTCTGCCACGAGCACATGGAGGTAAATCTGGACCTGTCACCGTGGTCCAAAAAAGCCCTGGGGGCTGAAGGGTGGGAGGCTGGGGCCGGGTTCAGCCTGGCCCGGGGCTCGGCCGGCTGCTCACCCGAGGCCGGGCAAACTTTGGAGACCCAGACTGAGCCTTTCACCTTGAGGGTTTAATAAAAATCGAGGGCGATCATCGGGGTGGGCTGAGTCGAGGTGGAGACGCGAGGAGGCGGCCCCGCCGCTGCCAAGCGAGCACCGGGGCCGAAGCCTCGCCGAGCCCCGAACGCCCCAGACCTTGACCCGGGGGAGGAGGCGAGGTGCGGCTGGACTCCTCCGTCTAAGTCGACCCCCGTCCCCGATCCCCAGAAAAGGGAATTTTGTTGCCGAGGGAGTTTGGTATCCGGAAAACCGATTACTGACTTTTTCTTGAGTAACCTGTTCACTCCTAGAGGGTAGGGGAAGAATGGAGTGAAACCGGGACCATCTACTTCTATGCTGCTCTTAGTAGCAACTTCCTTAATTGCAAGATGAGGTGGCGGGAATAGGATTTTATTTCTGCCAGTAATGTGAAAGGAAGGATTCGTCAGTAAATGTGGATTTTTCTGGCCTTGGGAGAAATGGTTGAGTGCTGCGCGCGCCTACCAACCCCCCTTACAAGGTCTGTTTAAGAACTTGTCGGTTTGGCTGTTTTCCTGCGATTATTCGTAATCGAAGCATTTTTCACGCGTCGGATGAATTTGCTCTCGTTATTTTTTCTGCATTTGAAACTTTCACAAATGTACCCTGGCTAAACGAAGTAATTGTACGTCCCCTTCTAGGTTATTATCATCACAAGAGTGCTGTTAATGTTTTTCTAAAGGTTTACCTCACCAGAAGCATGTCTTATGAAATTGGAGCAGGTTTACCTGTGGCACAGCAATAGAGGTTGTGCATATAAGGATTTTGAAATCCGTAGGAATTGGATTGTACTGTATGCTTTGCTAAAGCAAGTGACTAAAATTGGTTTCTCAAATTTAGCCTGAGAAGGTAAAAGAGCATTGTGCTTCATAGTTGTATTTCATGTAGATTCTTGTGATCCTGAGTGTTGTTTGGGGGTGTTAGGAAAGGAAAGGTGACAAAGAGGACTAATTGTAATATTTGGGAAGAGGATAATCTTTTCACATGGCATTCTTATACTGGAAAACAACTGGACTGTGGTTTGTAATACATTCCTTAGCTCAACATTGAGATGATGACATTTCCCTCCCCCCCCCCTTTTTAAGGATTTGAACATTTGAAACCAAACAACCAGTCTGAAAGTATCAGTCTAAAAGCCCCCTTCATCTTTCTTTTGCTCAGAGTGGTCTGCGTTGTTTGAGTCTATTAAGGAATTAGTGCTGGCCGGGGAAGGCAGGGCATGCAGTAGAATTTGCAGCAGTTGTTGAGGTGCCAGCCTGCAGGTTTTGAGGCTAGTACTTTACATCCCCATCCAATATCTCTGCGGAGAATATGCTCATGCCGAAAGGAGCTTTGACCTCATTGTTTCGGCTGGAATACCTGACTGCTTACATTTTCCTGCACAACCATGACTCTGGTTAAGTCTCCAGAATTTCTACCAGTGCAGTGAACTGAAAGCTTCTCAGGAGTTGTATCTGAGCCTTAGGCCTAGGGCAAGGAATTAATCTGCAAAGCCTTGGACGGAATGTGAAATATACTATCAAATACTTACTGCTAAAGAATGACTTCAGAAATAATTGGGGGGGGGGCAGTTTTTAGCTCCCCTAGTCAGCAAACAAAATGCTGTCCTCATCTTTTCCTTGGTAGAGACTGAGTGGCACTCCCATTTACATCACTAGAGGGATACAACGAAAGATTTAGGTTGGTCTTTGCCTTGCACAGCAATATAGATGTAGTCTAAGTTGTGTGCTTTTTTTATATTTTGGAGATGGGGCTATGAATTCCTTTCAAAATTAAGTGCTTTTTTGTGTACCTGTGTACATCTGAAATTGACTTTGAATGTGATATAAATTCCAGTGATGCTGATTGGAGTTCTTGGTCACTGAAAACTAGATACTACATGTTAGGACAGGGCTTTACATTTTAAGGGCTTCCCTGGTGGCTCAGCTGGTAAAGAATTGGCCCGCAGTGCAGGAGACATGGGTTCGATCCCTGGGTTGGGGAGATTCCCTGGAGGAGGGAAAGGCTACCCAGTATTCTGGCCTGGAGAATTCCATGGACTGGGTAGTCGATGGGGTTGCAAAGACAGACACAACTGAGTGACTTTCACTTAAATTTTAAACCTAACATGGTAAGTAGTATCATCTTCTACAGCTCAGTAGTGTTTGCCGAATCATTTTAAAAATACCATTTATTTCTTCAGGCCCAGGTTCTCCAGTTTTGAAAGAGAAAGTTCTTTAGCTTGAGCTAAAAGAAATAGTGATTCATTGTATTTTTTAAAGACATGGCCTTGATGTCTTTGCCATTAAAAAATTGTCTTATTTCCTTTCTGATGAATTATGACTTTCCTTCTGACAATTTTGTGGTAGAAAGAAATTGGTGGATTTGGTGTAGGATTTTCGGATTTAGGTATGTAGGGAATGACTTAAAAGATTTAAGAGTTGAATGTCTGAGAGTATAATAAAAACTGTATAGCCTGTTCCCACTCAACATTTCCAGTCTCCATAAATACAATAAATAATGGTAGCTTTCTCTTTAATTACTTTCCTTTAAAAGAATGTTTAATTGGAAGTCTGGACTAATTGAGACTTAAGCGTCAGGGACTTTTATTCTTTTACTCTTCAGTGACATTCCTAGTGATTACACTAGCATTTTCACATGAGTTGAAAGGTTTAATGAGAATCTAAACAACAAGAATTCCCCCCATTTGGCTTGTTCACTTATTTCATGCTAACAGTTCAAAACAAGACATTACTTGATAAAATAGTTCAGGGGACTTGGCCAGGTGGATGTTATTTAACTAGCCTGTCAGAGAGTGATATTAAACAGGTGTGAATTTCTAAATCATTGACATATAAAAGCTTAAGTTTCAAGTTGAAATACTGGGGAAAAAACTTCTCTCTCTGATTCTAGTAGCTCTCAAACTGTTTTGGCTACATAAAGCATGCAGCATATAATAAAATCATCACAGAGAAAATGTTGTATCTGTTGAAGACACCCAGAACTGGAACGAAGTTGACTGCATAAGGTATTTTAAGGAAAATTCAAAATAAGATAAAAAAATATTCAAAATAATGAAATAGGTAGCTAATGTATCCCTTTGAGTCTGATCTCTGGTGGCTTGAAGCAGAATTTCCATTCTGGGCCAGAGATTGAAGGCAGGTGGCAGCAATGAGAGCACTGAATCCTGGCCACTAGACCACCAGGGCCAGTGGCCTGTGACAAGACCCTGGCCCTTTGGCTTTGTAGAAATGAAGCCACAAAGAGATGGAAAGTAGTGAAATAAGTAAAGTGTTTCTTAGGAGGAGAAAGTGTACGTGTGGATAGACATACATGGGTGGGCTCAGAGAGAGAGTTGTGCCCTCGTGGTAGTTTGAATCACTTACATGGGGTATTTATTCCGGGTTTCTTTTGCCTCATAATCTTGCTCTGCCTGGCTCTGAGTCTGCAGTTTGGTTTCTCTCAGGATCTTCCTATGTGTGCAGCCACTTCTCTTAGCCAAGATGGAGTCTAGTGAAGAGGCCTCTGGGTAGGTTGACATTGCCTACTGTGGGGTGCATCCCTTCCCTTTTGACATCCGAGGAGGCTTTCTGCGCCTGTGTAGTCGGGAAGGCCTCCTTGACCTCGAGAATGAGGAATGTGTGGTCTCTTTATCTCTTATCTGGGCAGCTCCTCTGCTCTTGGCTGTTATCTTTGTTTTGGAGTATCTGTCCACAGGGGACAAACTCCAGCTGCTCAGCTTGGGGCCTATCTGTCTGCTGCCTCAAGTCCAAGGCAAGACCAATTTAGTGAAGTAATATATGGAGACAATGAATAAAAGTCAGGTAATTTGGGGGTCTTTTTGGAGCAAGGTTTTTTGTTTTCTCTTTGAATTAATGTTATCAGAGTAATTACACTTTTTTTTTCTTGTTTCACTTCACTAAAATCCTTGCCCTGACATTGCTGAGCATGGAAAATATTGATGAGTTTTATTATGTTTAGAAATTTATCTGAATGTATGTAGTGCAATATTTTTGCACTTACACCAACATTACAAATGGCCTGTTCATCTTTGCTCCTACCAGGTAGTTCATATATGGCTGGATTTTTAAAAAATTAATTAATTAATTTTGGCTGCATTGGGCATCAGTTGTGGCACATGGGATCCAGTTCCCAGGCTAGGGATCAAACCCCGGCGGCCCGCTTTGGGAGCTTAAAGTCCTAGCCACAGGACCACCCACGAAGTCCCAATTTGTCCCTATTAAAAGCAACCTTTTATTATCATATTGTAATTTCTTTGGGGGCGGGGTTCCTTTTCCCGTCATAAAGAACTTTCCCCAGCAGGGAGCAAATCCGCACCTCCAACAGTGGAACCGCAGTTTTAACAACTGGACACCAGGGAAGCCCCTGTCATTTCCTTTTAATTTCTGTGGCACTTTACATTAGTCTTT